TCTCTCTTTGGTGAAGACTGAATTCTATCAGTCAGGTTGTAATGTGGCCACCATTCTAGGTAGCTCGCCATCACGGTGTACATAGTTTGTGATGATATTAGGTGGTTGGAGGCAATCGGCAGGAAGCCTTGGACCTAGGTTTCGTGCTAGTTGGCACTCGTCAGCAAGGCGTATCTGCAACCTTGAAGGAACTCATGTCCCTTCTGAGATTCGAACCCGCGTCACCCAGTGCTGCAGTCAGAGACGTTACCACTGAGCTATTCGGGCTCGCGATTGACCTCCTGTAGGACTGTAGTAGATATTTTGATTTGACACTATGAACTAGTGTTATGCGTCTAGTCCTCTCTTTGGTGAAGACTGAATTCTATCAGTCAGGTTGTAATGTGGCCACCATTCTAGGTAGCTCGCCATCACGGTGTACATAGTTTGTGATGATATTAGGTGGTTGGAGGCAATCGGCAGGAAGCCTTGGACCTAGGTTTCGTGCTAGTTGGCACTCGTCAGCAAGGCGTATCTGCAACCTTGAAGGAACTCATGTCCCTTCTGAGATTCGAACCCGCGTCACCCAGTGCTGCAGTCAGAGACGTTACCACTGAGCTATTCGGGCTCGCGATTGACCTCCTGTAGGACTGTAGTAGATATTTTGATTTGACACTATGAACTAGTGTTATGCGTCTAGTCCTCTCTTTGGTGAAGACTGAATTCTATCAGTCAGGTTGTAATGTGGCCACCATTCTAGGTAGCTCGCCATCACGGTGTACATAGTTTGTGATGATATTAGGTGGTTGGAGGCAATCGGCAGGAAGCCTTGGACCTAGGTTTCGTGCTAGTTGGCACTCGTCAGCAAGGCGTATCTGCAACCTTGAAGGAACTCATGTCCCTTCTGAGATTCGAACCCGCGTCACCCAGTGCTGCAGTCAGAGACGTTACCACTGAGCTATTCGGGCTCGCGATTGACCTCCTGTAGGACTGTAGTAGATATTTTGATTTGACACTATGAACTAGTGTTATGCGTCTAGTCCTCTCTTTGGTGAAGACTGAATTCTATCAGTCAGGTTGTAATGTGGCCACCATTCTAGGTAGCTCGCCATCACGGTGTACATAGTTTGTGATGATATTAGGTGGTTGGAGGCAATCGGCAGGAAGCCTTGGACCTAGGTTTCGTGCTAGTTGGCACTCGTCAGCAAGGCGTATCTGCAACCTTGAAGGAACTCATGTCCCTTCTGAGATTCGAACCCGCGTCACCCAGTGCTGCAGTCAGAGACGTTACCACTGAGCTATTCGGGCTCGCGATTGACCTCCTGTAGGACTGTAGTAGATATTTTGATTTGACACTATGAACTAGTGTTATGCGTCTAGTCCTCTCTTTGGTGAAGACTGAATTCTATCAGTCAGGTTGTAATGTGGCCACCATTCTAGGTAGCTCGCCATCACGGTGTACATAGTTTGTGATGATATTAGGTGGTTGGAGGCAATCGGCAGGAAGCCTTGGACCTAGGTTTCGTGCTAGTTGGCACTCGTCAGCAAGGCGTATCTGCAACCTTGAAGGAACTCATGTCCCTTCTGAGATTCGAACCCGCGTCACCCAGTGCTGCAGTCAGAGACGTTACCACTGAGCTATTCGGGCTCGCGATTGACCTCCTGTAGGACTGTAGTAGATATTTTGATTTGACACTATGAACTAGTGTTATGCGTCTAGTCCTCTCTTTGGTGAAGACTGAATTCTATCAGTCAGGTTGTAATGTGGCCACCATTCTAGGTAGCTCGCCATCACGGTGTACATAGTTTGTGATGATATTAGGTGGTTGGAGGCAATCGGCAGGAAGCCTTGGACCTAGGTTTCGTGCTAGTTGGCACTCGTCAGCAAGGCGTATCTGCAACCTTGAAGGAACTCATGTCCCTTCTGAGATTCGAACCCGCGTCACCCAGTGCTGCAGTCAGAGACGTTACCACTGAGCTATTCGGGCTCGCGATTGACCTCCTGTAGGACTGTAGTAGATATTTTGATTTGACACTATGAACTAGTGTTATGCGTCTAGTCCTCTCTTTGGTGAAGACTGAATTCTATCAGTCAGGTTGTAATGTGGCCACCATTCTAGGTAGCTCGCCATCACGGTGTACATAGTTTGTGATGATATTAGGTGGTTGGAGGCAATCGGCAGGAAGCCTTGGACCTAGGTTTCGTGCTAGTTGGCACTCGTCAGCAAGGCGTATCTGCAACCTTGAAGGAACTCATGTCCCTTCTGAGATTCGAACCCGCGTCACCCAGTGCTGCAGTCAGAGACGTTACCACTGAGCTATTCGGGCTCGCGATTGACCTCCTGTAGGACTGTAGTAGATATTTTGATTTGACACGATGAACTTGTGTTACAGTTATTTGCAATTACGGTTATTTTGCATTTCTTTTTGATTTGTTTTCAAATCACGGAATATACACATTTGAACTGTGATCAAGATTTGGTCATAGGGAATAATAAAAAGATAGTTGCAGCGAAGAAAATTTTATTTTCGTCGAAGTCATCAACTAGGCTGTACATTCGTGTATTTATAATAAATGGGTAGGAAAGTTCCAGAATAATTTCTGGTCAACGGTCAAATTAACAGAATTACAATTAGGAATTAAAATGCCATAATAAACAAAGGGACCCCTAATTGCAGAATATGTCAATCTTCTCAGTAATTATGATGCTACTTCGAGTTTCATCCGTACCCCTGTTTATGATGGCATTTTAATTCGTAATGGCAATTTTATTAATTTGACCTTTCATCGGAAATTATTCTGGAACTTTCCCACCCATTCACTATAAATGCACGAATGTACAGCCTATTTGGTGACTTCATCGAAAAGAAAATTTTCTTCTGTGCAACTGTCTTTTCATTATTCCCTGTGATTTGTTTTCATTAGACCAAAATGCCTAGTTTCTGTTAGCATGTTGACTGTTAGCACAGACAATTAAAAGATACCTTGAGATTTATATAATGCACTTCGGCTTCTGAAATGATGTGTGCTAAGCTCACGTTCCAGTGGAGAAGTAGATACATCCAGACGACGAGTCACCAATGTGAAGAAATGCATCCGAAATCGTGTTTTAATTAAAGTGATGAAAACAATAAAGAAAAATCATCACCGAAGTAGTAGAGCAATGCATCAGGGGAATGAATAAATGAATGACAACAATATACTGCAGTTGAAATTGTGAAAACGTATCTAAATGCATATGCCTAATTTGCACGAATTACGATGTTGGCTTTCAGGCTGTCTGGTAAGCAATGCATAGTATCTCAACTGGGCTAGTCTCGTAAATTACTTTAGGAGCTCAACATCATCAATCGGTCTGTGATATAATTAGTTTTCAAGTATTGGTTTTGTTGTTTGACTGGTTCAGGGATTTCATCATTCGCTGACATCATTTAGAGAACCATTGTAAACCATTTTGGGAGTAATAGACAGCTGTTTCATCCTAGTTTGGCGTACGCACCCACCGACAGGGTTCCTACCCAGGACCTGGCTACAAGGTGAGCTCATATCATATTAGTTCACAATTAGAAAATATCCTGAGTCATATATCTGCTGAATGTCATGGAGTGTGCACAGGAACTCTATTCAAATAGTCCTCAAAACATTTCTTTTTATTTCACAAACTATTGTCAGTTAAATAACTATCTATAACCTAGGTGCATTGTTGAGTCATTTTGTTGTAATGCGGAAGCCTCCAATAGCCTTTGTTGAAACCAGAATGAAACACCATCTTGCTTTATTTTAAATGATTACCTGAATAACTTGAGTTTTTAACATAAAACAGGACTGTAGAGCGTATTAAATCTCCATGACCTCCACTAGATCAATATTTCTTTCCTGTATATATCACTGTTGATTTCTTTTGTGTGTTTTTATTCGCCCACACATTTTTAGAAAATGCATGTCTATCGAAAAGCCTTACAAGCCTTAGCCTATCCAATATCAAGTAATACACCGCATAACTTTCAGCTATTTAGTGCAACTAGCCCAACTTATTGTTATGAATGTGAAGGTCTCCTCTGGGGTGTAGCTAGACAAGGTCTGCGGTGTACAGAGTGTGGTGTCAAGTGTCATGACAAGTGCAAACGACTACTGAATGCAGACTGTCTACAGCGTAAGTGAATTTCATTGCTTTATTTCCTTTGTTTTACTTTTATTAATAATAATAATAATTTTCAACAGTTGGTTTGTAAGGATTAGATTTTTTTATACGAGTTTGACCACGGGTTGATATCAGTTAGAGAACCATTGGAAAACCTGCAGAAAGTACTGGACAGCTGTTTCATCCTAGTTTGGGAATCATCGGGAGTACGCACCCACCTCACTGTCAGGGTTCGAACCCGGGACCTTCTGGTTACAAGGCGAGTGAGCTCGTATACCATTCATCCACTGGGACCCAACTCTTCAGTGGCCAACCCATGAATTCTAACTTCTATCAATTCCTCATTTAGCGCAACTGGCACCAACCGATGTATTCGGTGGGACATCCATCCTCACACTTGACTGGATGGACCTCACTGGTCACGACTTTTCACTAGAACTGCAGGAAAATCTCTCTGTCCTGTAGCAAGTCACTAGGGAGAATCACATTAATTTTCAAGAGTTGGTTTGTAAGGATTAGATTTGTTTTTAACGAGTTTGACCATGGATCAATACTAATTTTGTTACTGAATAGTTGAGTAACGTGTGACAGCCAAAAACAACAATAAAGCATAGCTTCAAACGATAGTGATTTCCTCATTGGTATTTCAGTATATTTCATAGAGAAACTTTTCTACTTCTTTAGTGTATTTCTATAGGGTTAGATCAGTGTACTAAATAATACTGCGAATACTGTACTAATACTGTTAAACGATTCTGTCAAAGTCAGTTTTTTTAAGTAGCTTAATTATCTCCACTGAGTTATATGAAAAAGAGAAGACGTTCAGCGAAGAGACTCTTTTCGGTGAATTCATTCACATAACTATACAATCGCATTTATTTATAATTATTTGTGTGTGTGTGTGTGCATGAAGCTTGTCAAGTTTAGATAATTAATCAGGAAAAACAAGAATGATCTAATATAGAAACAAGGTTTATTAGACAGAAACTAAAGCAGGATTGAGTTAGTAAGTTAGGTAACCTAGTACAATTGCCTAAAATGTTTCAACTTATGTCCGGATAGCAGCAGAGGTAATTACAGGTAGAAAGAGACTAAGTAGGGTTGGGGTAGAGAATAATGCCATTTAAATTAGGACTGAAATTGAGCAAATAAATTGGATGACGTAACACAAATGACTAGAAATTGAGCGTTGGTCAAGTCAGTAACAGTGATAATGATGTATGGAAATTAAATCGAGTGAGGGTAGAGAACAGCAGAGTTGAAGATGTGAAATATTACAATTGAAAAGACAAAATATTACTAATGAAGAGAGAGAAAGAAAGTAATAGAATTTACCTGTTGGGTATTAAGATAGATTACGTCCATTGCCAGTGTAGTGATTGAACGAACTTTTTGTCTATGCAGAGTTCGGGACTTAGCAAGTCAATTGCCATTGCCATTGCTTTTGCAGTTTCAGGAAGTTTGATTTGCACATTTTTAGGAAGACTGCTTCGTATTCTGTAGACGACTTTGAGGTTTGTTTGGGGTGTAGCCTGGTGTCCGGAATCTATCAGATGTTCTAAAATAGAGCTGCTGGGGCATCATTTTCCTCTTTTGTAAAACCATGCTGGTAAGTGTTCGGTGATACTTTTAGAAAGAGAACGCTGGGTACGACATACATACCTGGCTCCACACGAGCAGGTGAATTGTTAGATGCACATTAATGAGGCCAGAAAGTTTTTCATATCACTATCATGCCAACTTTTATGAAACTCAGATATAAGATTTCAAATGTCTCTTTTTATCAAGTGATTTACTGTTATTTTTATGCAACTTTGTATCCTTCAAAAAAACATAATTAATTTCATAATTACATAGGTTTATTTTGGTATGATTATGAGGAATAAGTTGTGTTCGAGATTTAATCCAGTTATTTATACTTTATCATACTGTGTAGTCAAATAAATTTGTCTGATATGGAATCATATTCTGCTTCTACAATAACCTTGATAAGTATAATTAATTCCCTGTTGTTTTAAACAACAATTTCAGAATCCCACTAATGGTAACCATTTTTTGATGTTATCGCATTCTCTCAGCTGTGTGACCTGATTACAAGACTTTCATTGTCGATCTAGAGGAAATCTTCAGTTTTAACTTTAGAACAAAGAGCGATTTAAGAATTAACTATCAGATAAATTAGCAATCAGGTCTTCGTAAACTGAATGTCCGGAAGAGATAGATTCTTAATGGAATCGTTGGTTCTCACTGTTGAAATGCCTGTCCAGTACTCTTTTGGTTTTCTCTGTGATAATCTGACGGATTTTGTTTCGTGACCAGACTTGAATTGATGATATTAGATGGTTGGAGGCAATCGGATACACGAAGCCTTGCTCGACCTAGGTTTCGTACCAATTGGCACTCATCAGTCAGCCACCTAGGCGTTTCTCTAACCTTGAAGGAGCTCATGTCCGTTCTGAGATTCGAAACCGCGTCACCAAGTGCTGCAGTGAGACTTTACCACTGAGCTATTCAGGCTCGTGATTGACCTCCTGTAGGACTGTATTGGGTATTTTTGATTGGACACTAGTAACTAGTGTGATGTGTCTAGTCCTTTCTTGGGTGCAGACTGAATTCTCTCTGATATCATCAAATCAATGGCGAGCTACTTAGAATGGTGATGACATTGCAAACCTGACTGATAGAATTCAGTCTGCATCGAAGAAAGGACTAGACACATCACACTACTTACCAACTAGTGTCCAATCAAAAACTTGTATTAAGGCATTGAATTACTGAACGACTTCAAATATGCAAATATATAAACTATCAGTTGGGTGACTTGACAAATTTTGCCTCATTTTAGTACATGTGGACAACTGTGCAAAAAAGGTAAGTCTCTTAAAAGTAAACAGTAACAAAAACTTTAGAGGACTCATTAAAGCCTGGTACTTGGATCAAGCTACAACAAAGAGAAGAATTGATATGGTATATAAAATTATTAGTTAGTAAATAACAAGTGACACAGTGAAGAAATTTAAAGCCAAAGAAGCAGCACGATCAGATGGGGTTTCCCCAGAAGCACTGGAAAACGATCCACAGACATCAGTAGATATGCTGTCGCCAATACTGAAGAAGATTTCGAAGGTAGGAAAGTTACCTAGTGACTGCAGGAAGGGTCATCTTGTCAAACTCATAAATTAGGGTGACTTAAGCCCCTACAAGAACTAGCATGGATCATACCCCTATGCATTCCAAGTAAAGTATTAACCTACATGAACCTGTAGACATTGAAAGATACTCTGGATTCAGACATCCCTCCTCCCCCTCCCTGGCAGTAACCTCAACACTAGAGAGCGCAGTATCATAAAGACTTAAAAGCCTTATTCAACAAATGTATGATGATGAAACATTCCAAACAGTTCACAATGGAAAGCTCAGAGAAAGTTTTGAAATGAAGACAGAAGTAAGACATGCTCGTTGTGGACTGGCTCCTGCAACATACTGTGGGGATCAAGAGTACTGGTATATACTGAATTCATGAAAGCAGCCTGAAAGACCTGGACTTCTGGGATGATATATGTCCAGTATCACCCGAATTGGGAGATATACAGGTGAAAAAGGAACAAGTTAGCAGAAAACATAGTAAGAATATCACTCAAGGCGAATACTGAGACGACAGTGTTCAGGTGTCTTTCGAAAAAGAACCACTCAGTGTGGATATTGATGTATCCAGACGATGAGTCGCTAACTGGACGATACCTGCACTTCGTGTTCCACTGCCACCAAACAATTTAAAGCCAGTAGGAATATATATATATATAATTCCTTTACGTTCCCAGCGGAACATAGGGTTTCAAGCTAGAGTTTTGAAGTTTTGGCAGCAGTAGTGTTAATTTTTACGGGATACCTAACTTCCCCGCTTTGCCAGTCTTATGAATGGCTTAACCAGGTAAAGGAGTGCGTCAGTGGTGGGGTATCGCACCCCGGACCACATGCGTGGTTGACGAGCATATATATATGGCAAAATTAGCTTGAAGAAGTAAATTATCTTGTCATTTGTCTAAATTTCACTCTGATGCTAATTCTGACCTCAAAGGCGAAATTGATGAGAGTAATTTTCAATGGTCTACGAGCTCGCCTTGTAACCAGAAGGTCCTGGGTTAGAACCCGGTGGGTGCGCACTGATGAAGAGTCCCAAATTAGGACGAAACAGCTGTCCAGTACTCCAGTGCTGGTTTTCCAATGGTTCTCTAACTAATGTCAGCTCATGATGAAATCCTCCATGTAATGCGAATAAGTAAATAATACTATTTCACTGTGTGATATATATAATACACAAATTAATGTGGAGGCGAATAAGACCAGTAAACAGTTTAGGCTGGTTTATTAATGAAAAAAAGTAGTTGGAAGGATATATGATACGTTGACGCATGATGTTGTCTCTGTGTTTGTGTACACAGACACACAATCAATGTCTAAATATGCTTACTGTTATTGGAAATATGACACTGGAATATTGTTAAGCAAGCACAACCACAAATGAACCCTGTGTAAACGGATGCTTACAAGTATAATTGATCACCTTAAACTCACAGCGCGTGTGTGTTTCTGTTTGTGAGAGAGAAAATTTTAGAAACAACGATTACTGACATGTAGTAATTGCATACTAAAACGAGACTTTCTTCACATCTTTAAATATTTCGTAATGACAACTACCCAAAGTAAAAAAGTTCTGGATATTTATCGAAATTAAGAACACAATATTCAGGGAAGAGACTCTTTTTAACGAATTTGTTATCAAGCTGTACAATCGTATATATATACATATGGTTTTTAAGAAATTACATCCGGTAAGGGAATTAGATCAAAGGTGTTAATACATGAAATAATAATAGTATGAAATGCAATTAAAATATTTGTGATTATAATCATAGTTAAATGTCAATTATATAGAGGTATAGATGCTGGAAAGGGATGCATAATTAGAGGATTAGTAGGCGAATATAAAATGTTACATAACATGGTGTAAA